AGAGGATATTTTTTCTACAAAACTCTGTACAGTGGACATGCTAAGTGTGTGTGGATTGGTCACACAACAAGGTAATTAAATAAGTCTATACCCGAACCCATAAATTGGGTGCAAGTATGGAGGATTTAAAATATATGCTCCAGGCCCAGTAAAATGGTTCATTTTCTATTCTTAGTAGCTAAGTAGTGCATATTCAATGACCAAATATTACCATGACATTTTTTGCTGTTTAGGGAACATTATATGATTCACTTTTTTGCCTTGGCCCATTGTTACTGACTGAAATTCAGTATAAGGAACGTAGAGAAAGTAGTAATAGTTCTGGTAATAATTTTCTCTTGTTTGAAGTTAAGGAAATTTTAAACGATTCAGGTCTGTTGGATTTTGTATCAGGTTGTGCTGTCACACTACACTCAAAATACTGGAGTCGGAAGGGGTTGTGTGTATAATCTTACAGATTATGAAGCAGTTCTGAGGTCCATAAAGGGGTGTAAAGATGTTGAGTGTGAAGAAATACCTTGGGGAACACTTAATGTAGTTGAAAAGCTTTCACATTCCATCATTCCTGGGAGTTGGATACCTTGCAGGCCAGAGCATCTTCCAGATGAGAAGGTCAATGAGTTGATTAACGGACTTCCTAAAACATTGCTAGACACCCTTCTACCTTTTCAGCTAGAGGGAATAAGGTTTGGGCTGAGAAGGGGCGGAAGATGTCTCATTGCTGATGAGATGGGGCTTGGAAAAACCCTCCAGGTAGCAAAGAAAACCTATTCCAAGTTTTAAAGCCGGAGAAATTTGAATGTCAATATAGTTGTGTACTTAAGTTCAAAGCATTTACACTATAGTAGTAATATTTAATCTAATCTTATAAATCATTAATGTCTTTTTGTTTAGCTTATCAAAGTGAATTTAAGTTTATTGAAATTCAACTGTTGTAAGGTACTATGGTTTAATGATTGGAACCACTTGTACATGTACTTGTGCAGTAAAAGGATTCTTGTTGTGGTCTTGTGGAATTACGCTTTATCCTTAAAATTCCATAGTCCATTCATACAGAATCATATGGAGGGAGTACATATCATTAATGGACTTTTTGTTTCCATTTTCAGGCTATTGCCATTGCTAGTTGTTTTATGAATGAGGGCCCTACACTCATTGTTTGTCCAGCTAT